CCTACCTATTATTAAAAAAAAAAATCCATGTACTCGTGAGAAAAGAAGTCAGATGCATGTGAGAGTGTGGTGCAAACCTAAATAAATAAAATGTTCCTTCAATATGACCAAGAAGCACAGAACTATCCACTTTTCGAGCAAATGAGAGGGTTTTGGGAGAAAGGTGATTTTTATTTGATTTACACTGAGCTGGAACCTCCAAAAAGTACCTTTTTCTCTATTTGATGATTCCTATTAGGACGAAACTAACTGCAACTTTTCAATTATTGCAGTTCGTGCCTGAGTTTTGTAATCCTAGGAATTTGATACAAAAACATTCAATTGGTTTGGCATATTTGCATACTGTCTCAATCTGAGATATGTTTGCTTATAACGAACAGTAGTACTTCAGTGTTGTGTGAAATTATCTTATGGCCATTGTATTTTCAGCCTTAATCTTTTGAAGTCTGAATTTCTTATGATCTGTGTTTCTTTATCTCCAGATATGTCCTCTATGTGCTGTCAAGGTGCGAACGAATATGGCTACACATGTCATCGTGCAACATGAAAGTATACTAAAAATATCCTTCACTTCCTTTATTCCAATTTATCAGCTTTACATGGTCAGGTTAAGTGTAGGAGTTATTGACTTTTCATAGCTGGTTGTAAGAGAATAGCAAATCAAGTTTCGTAGTTGTTCTTTATAGTCAATTGGGAAGATAATATAGAAATTTCTGTGTTGGGTGAGTCTGGATTAGCGAGCTTGATATTTGTTTATATAGTGAACTGGAATGCAGTAGCTTCTCAATTTTGCTCTGTGTGTTGTCTAATTCATAACTTCTAACATGTTCATCAATCATTATGCTTAATGAAAGGTAGTGGCAGATGCCTTCCTTTTTATAATTAAATATTATTAATAAAGCGACACTAAGGTAGCGTTGCTGCTTCCAAATGTTATTAACTTTGCCCTCTTTCCCTTATCCGAAAAAGAAAAAAAAAACTTGCCAACTTTCATGTTTATTGGTTTATCTGAGTTATTTCCTTGAGCATGATTCTGCATCAATCATTGTTTTAGGAGAAATGTTATATTTTGTTTATCATATGAGCATGTGGAGCTATAAGGTGATTTACCTTAACAAACCTTAAGCTCTCAGTAAAAAGAAACTTCAAAATGGTGGATCTTTCTCGGCCTTATCCTTACTGAGGAAAGAGTTGCTGAGTGCTTATTTGGAAAAGAAGTCCAGCCATGTCACTCCTTCCTCTAATACGGCAACCAACCAGTTACTGTTATCATTTGTCGGCAATCAGCAGCCTTCCAAAAGATTTCATACAAGACAATCCTGCACTTCAGCTGAAGCAAGTTCATCTGTAAACAGCCTAGATGACCATGTTAGTGAAAGGTAAGAAGGTTATTATGATTTAATTTCAACAGTTTGGTCATGGTTCTATGTGTTACCTCTCATCATCTGCCAACACCAAATGGCACTGATCACGATGATGAAAAAGGACAAATTAGTGGACAAAAGAAAGCTGGATATATAGGAGTAGGCACACTCAACTCAATTTCTTCCATTTGTTAGAAGCCTGTCCTTTATCAATTATTGTCATTGCAAACTAATTGAAGAACAACAGCTTGTAACTAAATTCGAACTTAGAACCAGACTTGATCTGATCACTGGAGACAACCGAAGCACACAAGCTCGATAGATAGCTAACTAGTTATAGTTTCGTTCATCTAGCAATGATAAGTTCCTCATACTTTTGCTTGGTTAAATTTCATTAAATGTGATCGTTCATGGAAACAATGATTAATGTGCATAGAGCATTGTTGCTTGACTTTGCTTTTGATTGCTGCTGATTATACTTGTATGCATCGCATCTCTGGATTATGCAAGAAGTGACCTTGGCAGTAAGTTCGATTAATTCGAGAACTGAGGTGTCCTTAGAAATTTTGCCTATGCTGGATATGTAGTGCTTTACATATATCTGAAATTGTGAGAGAAAACCTAGTTTAACAATTTGTAGGGAATATAATAGGAACATCAATGCATGATTGCCAAGTTTTTGGATTTTGTTATTCCCTTGCTAAGGAAAATGCTGTAGTTCCATTTGCTAATAGTTAAAAAAGCTTCACTCAGAAGGCTTCTAAAATCAAGCCAACTTCGAGAATTCATGGAACCATTTCTTTTTGGGGGGTCATTTCTCCCAAATTTTATTACTTTGTTATCACAGGTGAACAATAGGGCAATAAAAAAAAGGTCATTTAAGCATTCTTCTCAAAAAATTGTCAGGAAGACACTGTATCACCATTTATTTTTATCCCCTTCAATCTGATTAGCACCAGGAGCACGCCAAGGTTAATTCTGATACCTGATGCTTTCATCCAACGGTTCTCTCCTTTTCTCTTACTATATATGTAACAAGATCTTTCTTGATCTTCATCATCCTTCTTCACTTTGTCCTTTCCCTTTAATGCCTTCCCTTTTCTGATTTATCTAGTCATTTTGAACGATATTTCATTTAGCCCTACAAAAACGTTTTCCTGAGCCAAACCTTGAGTGACATAGAAGCTGGTTATTTTTCTGATGTTGTTTTCCTTCAATTAGCAAGATCAGTGTTTGTTTCATGAGTAACTCAAGCATAGGTGGCAAAAATTGATTGTTTTGAAATGAACATAGCAGGACATACCACATTGTTTTAAGTGTCCATGGCACTGAATTTGGAACTTGAATTGTGTAGAGAACTTTAGATGTATCTTTTCCTGAATGCTTGCTAAATGTTATTCTAGGAAAGCACGTATTATCCTTTTGATTTCTTGCTACCTCCTAACTTACATTTGCCTGGATGGTAAAAGTTGACTCTTTTCATTTTAATCAAATCCTTGTCAAAGAAGGTCCCAACCGTTTCCTTCAATGGACAAGGATCAGGAAGAGAAGTTCCAGAGATCTGAATTTGTAAAAGGACTATTGCTCTCCACCATACTCGAAGACTATTTATGAGACTGAACATCAATGCTTCTTTTCCATTATTTGGATACTGGCACAGAAGCTCTTTGAAGATGCTCCGCGAAATATGATGATTAATTTATTAGCAGCTAGAAGCTGTTGGTTGGAGTTAAAGCAGTGTTCATCTTGTAGTTGACTTGCTCCCTGCTGTGACAAAGATATGTCCGGTTAACATGCTTTAACACAATTCTTTCAATTAAAGTGACTTCAGCGTGCTATTTCTCTTTCTTTGTTTCCCTCTTAGCTGATGTAGCTTATACTACATCATGCACTTGACTATCCGTGACTGGAAACAGAAATTCTTCATTCATATAGTCAAGATCCAAAAGGACTAATTATGAAGTAGCATTTTTACGGTCATTGTCACATTTTGCAAAAGAAATTACATGTCATTCATTGAATTGCTCATGTGCAAGTTTCTTCAGCTTTACATTATAGTCCCTTGCTTCATGCTATTTTATCCTCGTATAGTCAAAAAGCAGAGTGAATAATGTAGATCGTTTGAGAATTATGTAACATGAGTTGTACATGTTGAGATGGGGAAGACATGGAAGTTATCGCGGAATAGGTAGATTATCAAAGACTACTAATTTAGGATTGGCTACTCAAACAGTGACATCCAGCAAACGACTCCAATATGTGGCTATCATGGAGAATGGGTACTAATAATTATATCGGACAAAGAATGATGAATTCTCCCTTTCTCTTGTCTTCAAAAGACTGACTTACTACGTTGATCGAGCTTTACTATTTCTTTTGGACAAAGTTTTGCTGCCTTCTGACCCTCATTTTGTTGTACAGAGAGTTTAAAATGTTATTGTGATTCTTCCTTATAATAAAAACAAAACAAAAAAAGAATTAGTGATGGTAGAAAGAGCACTTTGAAAATATCACTCCAATTCAATTTGATTAGTCCATGAAGTCTTCAGGTTTCTATATCAAACGATGTTAAACATCTTGTGATATTCTAAATGCGAAGGAAGCCATATGACCTTTTAACACGGTACAATTTCTTTCACTGGAATAAGTATTGAGAGTAACTCTGAGTTATGATATTGTAACATTTTACCAAATCTTTAATGTTTTGAATTAGAAAATGCCGCCAACCAGATTGTGTCAACATCATAGCATTAGGAACACTTTGTATAATCCGATGTCTTTTCTTCAAATGGCCGAACTCTCACAAATAAGTTGTTGGGAGTTAGTTATTATATTGGAATTAGTACGAAATTTGGCACCAAGTTTTCTTTGCCTGATATTGTTCTGATCTCATCAACCTTCAACCGACAAAAATAAATAGGGAGAATCCTACAAATAAGTTTTGTTTCCTTCTCATGCTTCCATTACTTTTTGCGACTTGAATATGAAACTGGTTAGCTTCTCATTCTCGTTTGTTCTACTGCTTCCAACTATGGTTATCCGAGAGATGGGAGTAGAATTTATAAGAAAAATGTTATTGAAAAAGAAGTTGAATAAACTCTATACCCTAAACTATATAATCACAGGAACAAGTCTTTACGAATTCAAAACCATCTTCGAGGTCATGAAGAAAATTGTTTTCTTACACCTAAAGCTTCACCATTGTAACAAACCCAATCCACAAAATTATATGGTTAATGAAGAAATTGATACCTAAATCTGAGGTACAAGTGGATAAACCATTACCTATACTAGCACACTTATCCATTGCAGTTCCCACTTCACTTGTCATTGTCATGAGAACCAGATTCCCTTGCAAAGAAAAACCACCTCCTATGCACCCTTTCAGTTAAGACTACGCATTCAAGAAAAGAGAAACTAAATTAAAAAAAATGACCCATTTAATTTGATCATAACCTATAATGAATAGCAACAGATTTGTCATCAACACAAACTCAGGAAGTACTCAGCTGCATATGCTGCTCTTGGCATAACTTCTATTGAAGTTTGGTAATAGTACTTCGTACCATAGACTAGAGTCCAGGCAGTTTTGAAACTGGGGTCTACTCAATGCCTATGAAGATCCAAAGATGTGAATTAAGAATATAAGGAAACAAATCATGAGATTGCAATTTCAGGAACACAACGTACTGGTTGTATGAATTTGACAAACTATAACAAATATTTCTATCAATTTTTATGTGCAATCTGAAAATACAGGTTCCAAATCTTTCGTCACTATCACTTGTCAAGAACTTCTGCTCCTGACTCAACAAAGACAACAGGCCTATCCATATCAGAAGATTATATTTTATCCACCCCAGCAAAGTAAAGAAGGCAGGGTAATGAGGAGTCCTGCCACATTTCAGGAAACAATCATAAAGTACAACGCAGCAGCTTNAGCAGCAGCTTTTCCACTGTGAGCGTCAAATAGACTCACTGAGAGTTATCACGCCCATCCGATCTTTTTCTCCCTCAATCCAATACAAAAACCTTCCACACCAAAATGGAAGGCTTAATGGAGATATGGATCTTTGACCAAGATTGGTCAAAATCTGGGGTTTTAGATCTCAAAACTTTTTAACCAAACTGACAATCTAAATTTCTCCCCATTATCAGCAAAAACGTAGGAGCTTCAACAGCTGGATCATCTCCATGGAGAATAGTGCACACGGAAAAACTGATAATCGGGAAGGATAACCTGCAAGCGCCGAAGCCAACTGTCTGCAGCTTGCAATAGTGAATCTTCTTGCTCGGATTCATGAGGTCCACATGGACTCAAGATTGACCCTTTCAGTTTGTATGCGGCAAGGCCAAAGACTGGTAAAGAAATTCTTGAGTATGCATTTACATTGCCAAGAACTTTCCTGCCAGTTGCACCATGGTAGCGTGGCTGAACTGTACTCAGAGCTAAGAAAATGACAGAAACATTACTTCAGAAGAAGCACTAGGAAGTAGAAGCACACATGCATACAACAAATACATAAATCTGTCTGTTTGCACACAAAGGGTGGACATACCTCTGGATTGTGTGGACAAAGAATGAAAGGTTAAGAAAGAAGCGTCCAGATCCCGCAACGTGGGACCCATGGGTATTCTATATATTGGATACCTACAACACACTTGCAGCAGTCACAAACTAAAATGCAAAATAAGAGCTTCAAATATCCTCATCGTGTTGCAAATTACTCTAAGTTCTACAGGGTTGTAAACATACCAAGCTACAGAAATCCAACTAGAAGGCAGTAAATCACAGCTCCTGCACTTCTTCAGCACTGGAAATTGAGATGCCAGAACTGCTATCTGAAAAAGAAGATATGAATGCAGAACAAAACACACATTTAGGACAAAGAAGTGATTCGTTTCAAACACTAATAAATGATGTACCTTGTCAGCCAATGGTCTTCGATGGTGTGGTTGCTCCTGTTCCAAATACTCGAACAAGAGCACCCCAAGAGAATTCGAAATTTCAGCTTCATCGCTCGATGAACCCGTGACAGACTTGTCCCTCAATGATAGTCTATTTAGTCGCTGGGCATTTTGATTTACAAGGCTGTGCTGGTTCCACCGCCCATCAGAAGAGGATTTGGACCGCCTCTCTTCACAGTCACTGCTTCCACCACTACTGGTCTCCCTTGATGAGTCAGCATCACCCTCTTCACCAGGCCTCCTGGATAAAACAAAAGGAACACAAGATAAAAGGTAGATTCATGTTAAAATGCCCAACTGTGCCAGGTGAAGTTTTCTTTAGGTGAAAGAAAGAAACATTAGCTAAAATATCCAATTATTATTCACAATAACAGACAATAATAGCAATCAGTTAATCGGCTTGGACCAAACACATTAATATCTTTTTCTGACAAGTAAAAATCATAATATGTTGACAAGCTTCTTCTTCGATTTACTATTTCTGGAGAAAAGGTCCACATAAGTGCTAAAAGAACAAGTCTCACCATCAAATAAGGAAGATGCACCAAGTACCAAGTTACTTTAGCCACTTTAGTAGCTCAAGAGGGTGTCTACAGTTCCGAAGCTAACCCTGTTTCTCACTGAACAATTTTCAGGTGCTGCTCCAGGTTCCCATCTCACAAGTATCATAATAAAACTAAAACCCCAGAACATTGGAAACCTGCACTAATTTGGCATGTGTGTTTCATTACCACGAAATGGTAATATCATGAAACAGATCATCAATCTCTAACATCAACCATTCTACTAGCCTATGGAAAGTGCCAAACAGATAAAAAGTCTCAAGTTGTCTATGCAAAATTTTCCTTGAAACCAAAAGGTTTAGTTTCAGAAAAGGGAATAGCAGCACCAAGATGAGTTGCAGAAGAAATTAGTTCAGAAACTTGTGAAATTGCTGGTGCCTTCAAAAAGGTACATCCACCATTTACCAAGCAAGGGATCACCGAATAGCCTATCCAGGTAAGCCTGTAGGGTAAAGTACACCCGCATTTTAACACACCCTCAACACAGCAGAAAGATATTAATAGCAAAATAAGGAGAGAGAACCATGCATTTACTTCGAAACTGGCGATAATCCAATTGGTTAAAAATGTTTTAAATGGTTAGAGAGATGACGCGAAAGATGTTAAAATATCGCTATTAGTTAAGTAATAATGAAGCTTAAAGGGCATCCAGAGTAGAGTCTCAACAATGTTCAGACAAGTCATGCAATGTGAGAAAAGAAGTTGTGGTTGCAACATAAACAAAATGTTAATGTATCATTTTACATTATAACTTTTTCAGATTAACAAGTATCATTATAAGGAACAGAAATTACAAGCAGCGTGCACAACTGACCAGGAATTCATTCAAAGATCAAATGGAACTTTGATTTATTAATGGAAAGCAGTATTATCAAAGGCGAAAAGCGCAAAAAAGCTCTAAGGTCCGCTGAGGCTTTAAGCGCAAATAAAGCGTGGGCTTTAATGAAAAAAGGCGCAACTTGAGAAAAATTAAAAATGTGTATACGTAGCGGTAGTCCAAGACTAATAATTATAAGCATGAATAACAAATATATGAACAAGAAATTGAAAAAAATTTACGAGAAAGTGAAATATCAATTGTTTAATGTCGCCTTTTCAGGATTACATTCATTGGCAAGGAAAAATATGCCTTAGAGCCTTGATGCGATACTAAAGCGCACACAAAACGAGGCAAAGCGCTCAACATGTTTTGAGCCTTGCTTCAGGGCTTAAGTGTGCCTTTGACAACACTGATGGAAAGAGCCATCTAAACACAGGGATGACTGCTGCTTAATTACTCCAGGTTCTGCAAGAAGTTCTTTCCACAAAGCAAGATGTAAGCAGATTTTATTCAAGTCCATGTTGGATCTGCCACTATTGGAACACAACAACTTCAACTAGTAGAATATAATCATATTACCTATACTCCCTCCGTTCCAATTTATGTGAACTTGTTTGACTGGGAACGGAGTTTAAGAAAAAATAAAGACTTTTGGAATTTGAAGTCCTAAACAAGTCAAAAAGGGGCCCAGAGTATTTGTGTGGTTATAAAAGCTTCTCATTAAGGGTAGAATTGTAAGTTTAAGCTAAATTGTTTCCAAATTTAGAAAGGGGTCATTCTTTTTGGAACGGACCAAAAAGGAAATATGTTCACATAAATTGGAACGGAGGGAGTAGTATTTTTTTATTGTATTACCTAATATATTTATTTTATTAACAACACAAGCTTGAGTGCGCGGTGAGTATGATCAAGAGGGAGCAAGCCAGTGAAACACAGCTTCACTGCTACTTATTACACTTCAGAGAGATATTTTCACACAGGCAAAGGTTTTTTTTTGTAGGGGGCTAATAAATGAGAACCAGCAAATGCAAGTAACCAAGAGCACATTAAGTGAAATGTGAAGGCTCTATTGATGTCATTTGAGTATATTAACTAGTGTTTTATTATTTTTGATTAGTATATTAAATCATATGAGTATACTAACTAATGTTGTACTTAAGAAATAAGCTCCCATAATGGAGAAGACCAGGAACCATAGAGGCCTTTAAGGACAGGGAAATTCTCACTAAGGATGTTGCAGGTCTCAGTTTTCTGTTATGATTTATCTTTGTCGGTCTAGACTTCAGGAGCTTTTAACTTTTGTGCCAGCTCAGATTCGGAGCAAAAATTAAAAACTATTTAATACCAACAATCAAATACCATCAGCGAGGTAGATTTAAGCTAAGTCGCGGACTCTTCATTTTTGATGCTGCACCCGTCTCGACACGGGACGGGAGCGGGATATGTCCCGGTTTTGGTCAACTAACTTCGGATACTTTGACTTGAGTCCATCGACAAATTTTTTTATTTTTGGAGGGGTTGACATTTTGATTTTTCAAAATTAAAAATAAAACAGATTTAAGACATGGGAAATGGCATACCTTCAATATTGTAGTACTTTTGTCTCATATTATGCTGCTTTGTGTTTGAGAAAAACCAAGAATCCAAGGGATCGTGTTCTGAGTTCGAACTTCTGGTAAACAGTAGCAGCGATATAGATGGAGAGTTGGTGGAACGCCTTGAATGGCTTTCTTTTTCTCTTTATAGCTCTATTTTTTATAATTTTGAATTTTTTTATCCGAATCCCCGCACCCATATCCATACCTGGATCCGCACCCCCAAATCTTAAAATTTAGATTTGCCGAATCTGACACTCGGATACGTGCCTGTATCAGATGCCTGCACCCGAGTCCGAGCAACTTAGGATTTAAGGCATCCATCAAATTTGTTACCTTAATCCATTCTCTAAGGTAGAATATGCAAGACATACTTTTTTTTCTTTTTGATAAGGTAAGATATTATTGATGAACAAGAAGAACTAAGAAAGTGCTACACAACCACTAAGAATATGCAAGACATACTTGTAGTTTACTAGTATAGAAAGAACTCCATAAAATTATAGCATATGGTTAGAATGCACGTTAGCTAAACCCTAAAAATTTTAACACCACCGAGAACCATCAACAAGGTAAATCGTAAATAATTTAATGCAACCATCAAGTTGATACTCTCAATATACTCTTGTCTATTTAATGCACCTATCAAGTTGGTACTCTCAATTTTCTTCAACAAGCAGCATAAAGCTTTCAATGAATCACATTACACTTCCACAAAATGCATACGAAATATCCCTCCAAGAGTTAGAGGCCGTGGATAGATGATATGGACAAAATAACAGACTGCAATATAAAACAGTCAACCATCACATGCAATTTAGTAAACGTTGTAAGCTATCAAAAAGAATAAATCGCTATCCTAAGCAAAATTATGAAATAATTTCATTAAAAAGCAAAATTATGAAATAACTACCCCTTAGCTTCTATTTTAAGGCATCATTTGCAATGAAAATATATTTCCATAAATGACTACCAAATAGCAGTGTCTTAAACTACACTTCAACGTCATAAAATCCATGATTACATGTGAATCATATTCCCTCTGAAGATTCTATTCATCCTAATCATCTCAACATCCCATTTGCGGCATATAGAGTTATTAAAGTCTCTCATAAGGGGGGTGATTTCAACAACATAGGAAAAAGAACAACCAATTTTGGAGCATTTTTATTGCAATGGTTCTTTTAAGAGCGTTTTGTGGCAATGGAACAATAATAATATCTTCATCTCAAGGAATTAGCCAAGTGAAACAGTGAACTCAATGCACGTCCAAGTTAAAGCTTGTGAGTCTATGTTCTAATCCGCTCAATATCTTCATCGTTTGTTCCGAATATTTTTGGATGTTATAGCGAAGTGTTGTTATAGAGAACATATATTATAACATAACATAAGAATTGGTTCCGGAAAAGCTTGGCTTTTATAGTGAAGTGTTGTTATATAGGGATGCTCTTATAGAGAGGTCTGACTGTATATTTTTTTGTAACCCACTCAAACTGAACTAAGCAATTGAAAAATTATGAAGCATAGCTAAAGTGGATGCCAATTCAGATGGCAAGCAGAATAAGCATTCCGAGAAATGGTGAATAATTATAGACCAATAAAAAGACTAATTAGCACGAAAATAGAAAAAGAACATCAAAGGTTGGCTTACCTAAAGCGTGAAGATGGCTTAGATGGATCTACATACAACTGGATGCCGGATAAGAAAGGAACATAATACTGTATAATTGAGTCTTTCCCATTCAACAATAGTGGTACGCCCACTCCATAGACACTCCACTCACTAAAAGCTTCCCAGAGATCCCCAAGGCAATAATAGGGATTTGACTCTGCTTCCCTAGTTCTATGGCCTCTTACATTCACCTGTCCATACAAAGCTTGATAAATTGATAAATATTCTTCATTTTGATGCTATTCATTCTTAATGCAACAAATAAATCGCAAAATTAATGCATATCGGTCAAAAAATAAATCACACTTGATTCCTAAACGTGAGAAATGTGAAGAAAACATAAAATCTTGAAATCTAAACCAGAAATCTTAAAATCTTGAAAGCAAATCAAACAGCATTTGCTTCCTAAATATGAGAACAACAACTACTACCTTTACTATAACTATTACTCCTAAATCACAAACTGGTTTGGCTAATATGATTCTTCAATATCCATTCCACTCCAAATATAAAAGAGGAATGTTAATGAAAATAAAAACTTGAAATCTATAAGCAGCTCTCGCCTCATATGCAAGCAAGGACGATAGTTTGAGCAGAGCAAAATGAAAAAGCAAAATCCTGCTACTATAAAGATTGTGTTACTTATAAATAAAAATAAAAAAAACGACTGCTAGTAACTTATAACTTAGAAATAACTGAAACACCTCTTATACCTCAGAAAAATGCAGGGCGGGCACGAAGGGAGTAACAGATTCAATCAAACTATCCAAATTAGTAACATTTACTGGCGGCGGCCGTGGCGGCGAAGCAGCGGAGCAAACGGAGGGCGT